TACACCATACAAATATCATGTTTGCATTATAGGTTATTTACTTATTTTTCTCGTTGATAGCAATAATCCATTTTTCTCTTTGAACTATTTTATGCTTGGCAACAGGAAATGAATAAAATTTACAATGACTGTTGTACCCAGTATTTTTATATGTATCATATATTTTTCTTTTTGAAAAATCCATATTCGCCATTATTTGAATGTTTACAAGTTAAATGCACAAAACTGCCACTAACAGCGTTGGTGAAAACTGTCAAATCCCCTCTACTCATCGGCTCACAGCGAATATATTTCATTGTATGGTTTGGACCATTGATTATAGAGCCAGTCACATATGATATAAGGTTAATTTGTAGTGTCTTCTTCTTCCTTCTTGTATGTAGGCTTTTAAGTCTGTTTCTTCTTCAATATTAGCCTCCTAAATTGTTTAAATTGTCGCCCCATCTTTTTCTTGGTCTGCCAATACTTCTTCGTCCATTTGATGACTTATCTCGTGCTATTCGTACTATCCTATCCTCTGCCATTCTACTAATGTGTTCGTTCCACTCCTGTTTCCACAATTTGTAGTGTGTGTTAAGTAAATGCCTTGTTATTGCCTTGTATATGCCTTTAAAGTATCCGACAAATAGACTTTTTTTAATAAAAATACTCATCCCGGTCAAATTCGAACTCACAACCAAGGAGTTTTTAAAAGCGTTAGCAAAAACATTTATAATCCATATGGTTCTACAGATATTTCTTGTGGCATTTTTGTTACTTCTTTAATGGGAATTAAGCACAATTTTAGTTCAAAATATGTTTATTTCAATATTTCGATTTTCTTTTCGGAAATGTATATTTAGACAGTATTTTTATACAGTTTATGTGTTGTTACATGTCGGAAAGTTGACTCTATTACTTAGCTGCATTATAGTCAGCAAATTCACCTACATATATACCATAATATAACAGTATTGCTTTATTGCGTGTACATTTTAAAGATTTACTAACGAAATTTTGCATAATCAAGAATAATTAGTTTAATTGCGACGTAATGACACAGCAGATATATATGTATATTATCAAAGAAAAACGTGTGACGTAATTCCAAAGTTTTTTCGTAATTATTTTAAGTAATCATATTAAAAACATTTCGAGATTATGTGTACATCACGTAATTTTGTATTACTAATATTACACAGCTATTTATTAGAACCAATCGTTTCATTATTGCAGTAATTCAAATTCTGATCCCAAATACAATTTAGCCAATTAATTAAAGATTAAAGTTAAATAATAATTATACACTGCTTTAAAAAGTAGACTAACAATTTTTTGTGGCTTCATAAATCTTTTAGTAAAAGCTACGTTTCAAAGCCTATATAAAAACGACTATTTTCTAAAACTTCATAAATGCAGAATATCTTTCAAGTAAAAATTGCTCCAGAGGTTTCTTTAATTCGTAATGGTTTCCGAATTCTTCGATTTGCAATAATATTTAATCGCAATACTTCTGTTTGTCTGGTCACTTTATCTGTATTTGGCTCATTTGTCCATCTTACAGAAATGATTTCTGAAGAATCATTATTCAGTGACAACTCCTGTGATTATTCAGTTCAGTTTTGTGCAACCCTAATAATAATTTAGCGCAACAAACAGAAGGTTTTAATAACTCATGTGCTCGTCTTTGACTAAAAATATTTTCCCAGTAGTATGTTCCTATTCCCATTTTACATTGTTCACTATATGGCTATTTGTTAGACCAAAAAATGCTTTTAGTTCGATACAATGAGTATTAGCTCATTGCCAGCAGTTCATTGATGCTGTCACCCACAATAAATTTACTCTGCTGTACGTTGCTACGGAACTTTTGGAGTCCCATACTAATAAATTTTTCTAACTTGGTTGTCAGAGGAAACAAATCTTTTGTATTTTGCAGAAAATAGTTTTCTGTAAAATTTTCTGCAGTTCTGCAATATCGTACGAATATTTTCGATGTCTATTGATATAAGGTGTTAGTATAAGTAACACCCTGTTACTACCAATCCTTGAAAATTTTATTTCTTGTGGTAGGCATGATTTCTCGAGAATGAATCGACCGATTTTGCTGAAACTTTACACAGTTCATGTTTATACCTAGGATTGTTTCATAATTAAACTAAGAAATTGAAATAAAAATTAAGTTTGAAGTTATGACATAAGTTTAAATGAAGTTTTGTCTCGTATTTTTAAACAGTTTTCCGATAGTCATTGTTTTTAAAACATTTTTTTCGAATAAATCATGAACGAATGGACCGTTTGAAAATCTCGTCGTTCAATCACGAAACAATCCTGTAAAGTTCAGAAATAATCAGAAAAGGAAAATGTCACCATAAAAAAATTCACAAGTACTGGTGGTAATCATAGTACAATGAACACAAGGTTGATACATAATGTTCCAACATCGGTTCGCGACGCGCATGACGTAGTCAAGACCGCTTCTTCATGCAACATTTGAATGTAGTTGTATAGGAAAGACTTTTAATTTTAATTTTTTTTATATATAATTTGACTAATTTAATTATAGTAATTATAAAGAGATGATAAAATTATGTTATTATAATATTTAATCATAAATAAAGTTTTGAAGTTAATTTAAATTTATTGATTTTTGGTACAGTTATTTTGTTAACATAGATATCCTTTATAAAACAAGTTTTAATTATCTTTTATTACACATAGGTACAGGTTAATCAACTTATACTCCAGAGTTTGATATTTTAGATGTTTAAAAAGATACAAAAAAGTGGTAATGAAGATACACAAAATTTGTACGTATATACTGAACTATAAACACAAAATCAAAATAAATAATGATAAAGTCAACTTATATCAGCATATATCTAAATTATTTTTCTATGGTAAAATAGATGACTCAGTCAGTATTGAGTTACTTTAAAATATATTTATTATCGCATAACTTGCAATTTGCAATCGTCACCATTGATAACCGATATTATTGTCGAACTTTTGTTTTTACACAAGCCTTCTTGCCGGTGTAAAGTCGTCTGAGGTCGATATGTATTGTGTTTTGCGTTTGAACTAATTTATGCCTTAGTTTCATATTATTATATTGTTTGGTAAGTAAATTTTGCATATAATAATCTTTGGGTTATAGTAATGTGTATATTTTTTATTTTACTAAATTTAAAAATAATTAAATCTAAAATAACATATTGAATTATAAATCAGATTTTTCTTTATTGTAATCTATTTTGTTTTTATTTCAGTAAAACTGCTTGGAAATGAGTGACAGTAAATCAAAATACGCAAATCTACTACTATTTACCTATACAAAAAGAGTGCGTATATTATTAGTATATGTATGAAAACAAAAATAAATATAATAACCCCCAGAAAAAGTAAAGGTTTTACGATACTGAAAATATACTTTTTATTCAATTATGACCAAAACAAAACTTTAAAAAAAAATTCGATCATTTTTTGATCATAATATATGTACGTTAAACTATAATAACGGGTTCGAGCGTTCTTGGCCACGTCATACTCCTGGGTCAGCTGTCAAATGTCATGCGCAAAATCATACCATGTATTCATTGTACCATATGTGGTAATAGTGTTCATACCATCGAGCAAAAAGACAAAAGAGGGAATGTAAAGGTAGTGGGGGCAAAAATATTGTTAGACAGGAAGTGCGATCTATAGAGGCCACATTAAACAAGGAAAAAGAGTCTCTCTCCTTTTTTGACATTAAATTTAGTTGGGTTATGTTATTGTTTGTCCCAAATGTCACATGAAACCTTATTTATATTGAAGTTTTTTAACAATTGTGTCGCATTTTAGACTATTATCGTTAATAATTAATTAAAACTTTCTCGTCTAAGACACATTCTGAAAAATATTATATAGATACTGTTAATAAATGTCGGAAAATTTAAATTTGGCGCATTCGCATTTCCGGATATGTCCGCCATCAGAGGCCACTTTTTTGGTCTCCTTTTCATAAAGATTAGATTCCCTCTTTTGTCTTTTTGCTCGATGGTTCATACACAAATGAATATAGACGCTCATGGCTTCAAAAAGTGTCACTCGTTTCAGATGATGTTGGTGACGTTAAAGTTTGTAACCCGGTCAATAGAGGCACTGATAATCAATTTTTGGGCAGTTTTTATACAATTTTTTAGTAGTTGTTGTGAGATGAAACTTTGGGCGACCGGTAATGTTTATTTGTAAGATCGAATTCTGCATCAAGCAATTTTTTATTTATTTTTAACTGGTATTTTATTTTTAATATTATCTTTAATTTTATATATAAATAAATCTTTTATATATGTATTTATAAAACAAAATAAATAATAAAAACTTCTCGAAAATAATTTATTAAATCTGCTTTGGCTAATATACGTGCACAACCAGTTTTAATTAATTTAGTATTACGATATTGTAATACAATTGAATTATTGTCTGAATAGATTATGTAACCTTACGGAAACTGCTTGGAAATCAAACGGGAAGGTTTTTGCATATTTGACAATGTTAACTATCTGCTGATTGAAAAAAGAAAATAAAATGGTTTTGCTTTACTGAAATTAATACCTGATTAAAGTAACGAATATCGACTGCTATCATAAAAAAGTGAAGTGAATGTGAATTGTCTTCGATAATATCTAAACGAAAGATATTTTCGAACCCAATACGCACTTGACGGCCAAAAATAATAAAAAGCGAATAATATTTTCTGTGGTCGCTTTTATGCATTGCTTCTCCGAGATGAAAAATATAAAAAACAATTCTAATAACAACTTAATTGATAAAATAAAGAGAGATGCAAAAATAAGAGAATCCTGACTGACCCATAAAAACATAAATAAGATAATAAATGGAAAACAAAATATGGCGTGTACAATAATTCAAGAAATTATCATGATAACAAATCTAAAAATAGGAGAAACAATAGACAAAGGTTCCATTACTTTCTATTTACGCATAAGACCTTACAAAACGAAAAAGATGACGCGTAATGAAAATTTGAAAAAAACTTTATTTTCTGTAACAATTATTAAAATATAAAATTGAATTTTTTAGTAAACAAAATAAAAATGATGTATACACATCTCGGTATAGTGAAGGTAGAAAAAGCCAAAAAAGTAATCTATTGCACTTTTGTTGTTGTGTTTCTATTTGCTACTGCTAATGGAGTGAGGTTTGTGACATCTGGTAGAGTTTTAATTCCTGCGGTCGAGACAGGATTATTGTTGTTGGACTTCCCTCGTCCACCTCGTCGACTACGACCTTTCTTGACCCCACTCTTCTGTGTTGTCCCCTCTCGTTTCTCTATCGTTTCTTCTAGTCCATTTTCAGTCATATCCTGATCTACTACCTAGAAAATAAATGCTATCGATTAAAAGTATTTGGTTTCTATTTTAAATTAAAAATTAATTACATTAAATCAATTTTTTAGAGCTATTTTAAAATAGGTCTAAAATACTTAAGACGCATTTTGGAGAAGAGAATTTGTTAAGCGGTTACATAGGTCTTGTATTTTCAAAAAACAAAAAAAGAAGAATCAACGAAAATTTTATTCCATATGAAAGTATAGTAAAGTTCTTCGTTCAGTGCATCACAGTTTTTCAATTTCTTTCTAACGCATTAAGTTGGATGTAACAGAACAAGCGGTAGTTCCGTGATTAACCACAAAAATATTGCAGCGTTACATACATAAGCGGTCTATTCTTAACCTACATTTGATTCGTTGGTATTTAAAATGCACGCTTTCCATAGTCAATCAATTACACGAATTACGAACATTTGACGTAAAACTTCATCCATGACAAGTGTCAAAGAATGAAGTAATCGTTGTCGTCCAGGTCAGTATTTGACCATGATACTATGACTTCCAAGATAAAACCACTTCGCAATCGAATTTTGTACATCGATACGCATGACGTCAATTGGTGATAAAAGTTTATCTTTAATTTAATATTCTGAAATATATTTCATCAAAAATGCACACATTGATTTGTCAACGTACTAGATAAACGATAAAACAATACTAAACCTGACAAAACTCCATGCAAAACAGACATTTCTGGTGATATTTGTCGCCAACTGACGTCACACGTGCAAAAGAGATAGACTGATCGCGTGCGCGTGGGTTTATCTTTAGTTCATAGTATCATGGTATTTGACATTATTTCACAGCGCTGTGCATTATTTTGTGTTTTGGATTATTTTTTATTTCTTCATTAAAATATTTTTAAAACGCCAAGATATAGGGAAAAGAAACAAGTACTGATACTTAAATTACTTAACTATTTTCAATTAGAAAATGAAGCTGGACAAACTTTATTACCTATTTCTGCTGTTCGTGAAATAAGTTTAAAATTACGCTCAAAATAAAATTGTTTTATCTACTGTTTATTTCAGCGTCTTGCTGTGGCGTTAGGAATTTCTTTACCAACCATGATACTATGACTAACAAGATAGCATCTTCCCGTAGCACAAAATCGGTCGTGTTCGCGCATGCCGTCATTGGAGAGTAGAATTTGAATTCTTGTTAAAGTTAAATAAATGGGATTTGTATGCATTCTGTGATGAAATTACTAGACGAAAATAAGTTTAATAATTATAATAATCGTACACATAAGGATATCTCCAAACTATTTATTAAAGAATATTTATTGATACATACAAAAAACTGACATTTCGAACGTGCAGCTCTCCAATGACGTCAGGACTTATGCGCAATATCTTATCTTCTTAGTCATAGTATCATGTTACCAACTATAAAACGATTGGCAAATGAAGGTATCCAAAAAGATTCTGATTATTCCATCACAATGAGCGAATCAGTAGCCACTAGTCTTGAACCTAAATTGATAATAAAGAAATACGAACAGCCATCAGGACTCATGTATAATAATGTTTCGTAAAGGTAAAAGCGTTACAACTGGTTAGTTAAACAATTTTATCATTATTTCTGATAGAATGGCAGGAGTAACTAACTTTCCAGAGACATTTCTTTCAAAAAATTGTTACTGGCAACTAGTTACATATTCATATAAAATATATAGAAAAGAAAAGTGATCATAAAAAGAATTCCAAAATTATAGGAAGCCACCAATTTCGGCTGTACTACATTTTCTTTTGATTTTGATGCTCTGGACCACCGTTTTAATAGTATCATAATTTATTAACATACAACAAACACTATTGTCATACCATTCCACACACAAAATTTCATTAGTTTTGTCGAATCTATATGTACCTCTTGCCATTTTCTTCATTAGTTTAGACTCCATTACTGGACATTTTTGCACACGATTTTCTCTTACAGTTCCTGTCGGCTTTATGCCTTTTTGTTTCAGATATATCATTAGTTGATATTTCGTGAAATAATTATATTAGTTACTTAATAAACATTTTTGAAAAAGTCTTTTGAAAGAGTCTTTTTTTGTCTATACAAAAGATGACGGCAAATGATTTAATTGTATAACTAGAAAACGAACTAGCTATACTCGAATTATATACTATTATAAAAAAAAACAAATGGATCGTTTTGTTGTTATTTTTAGATGTTTCTATATTTGTAAATGTAATAAACAATATTGTTTACTATTTAATCCACTAGTTTAATGACATAAGCCTTTTCCCTGCGGCTAAGTACGATCCTGGTATCTTCAGTCGTCAGTCAGATTCGTCAATAATTACATGGAATAATTCTGGAAACATCTAATACATATGACGTCATCATTAATGACGCACTAAAAGAAGGCTCTGATAATAACCATACTTCAAGAGTATTCATAACAAATTTGAAGTAAATTCGAGCAAGATTACCCGAATTATAGATATTTGAATACCGCGAGGTCAGCTTAACGATATTGTGAAATTCGTTAAAGTGCAGAGACTTAGATGGGCCGGACACATTGTTAGGATGTCAGATCACGAATACACGAAGAGATTAACATTTTAAAGAGGGCACAAGAAGCAGACGATGACCACGAATGAGATGGATTAATGATGTTGAAGAAGACCTGCAGATTCTAAGGGTTAGAAAGATGGAGAGAAGTTGCCAGGAATCGACAGGAGTGGCGACTTCTTTGTGAGCAGGCCAATATCCACAAGGGATTGTCGATGATGGTGATGAGGTCAGTTTAATAACTTTAAACGCGTTTTTTAAACTTTGTTTTTCCATGCGATAGTAACGATTTCTCGAGAACGATGAAATTGCACAGTTCATCTTTGTACTACTGACTAAACGAAGGTATTTTCAATGGGTCGACTCATTCTTGTTTTATACGGAAAAAATGTTTTAAAAACGATGAGAATCGGAAAAACGCTAAAAAATGAGATGAAAATTTGCGAGAAAAATGAGAAAAAATCGCGAGGTATCAAAGATAAAGTAAAATAGAGTTAAAGAGTAAAATAGAGTTTAGAATTTAGAACGAAATAAAATTTTTGTCCAAAAATTAATTACTATTAATTTAATTAAAAATATTTGCGGCCACTTTTTGACTGGCAACCTATTATCAACGTATTCTCCTAAATGTGAGTTCGATTAACTATGTTATGAACGTAATGATCTTGCAGTGGGATCTTAAACTATAAGAACATTTTCGAATTTTGATTTTGGATGAACTTGCACTGAAATATTCTGCGTATCGCAAAAAGGCTCGATGAGGAAAACAATAGGAAAAACTATACAATTTTCAATTATTCAACTTATTCAATTGCTAAACTTTTCTGTGTATAAGTTTGAAATTAAATAAATTTTTGGATTTTAAAATACAATTATTTGAAAAGTTTTGTTTTTTTTCTATTCAAGACCTACGTAACTCCTTAAATCTAAATAAAATTATTAAATTTTCTAATGATGATCTGCGAAGAACGTATGTGGATATAAGATATAAATGGAAATTGAAAATATTTAACGTTTATTGAAAATAATATAAAATTATTATTCATTTAAAAAATAATATATAACTCTCTAATAAAAATCTACGTAGGCATTACTTCTTTTATGTTTTCGTTCTTTCCATGTGACTTCTCGCTTCTCTGTTGACCGCTTCCATATCTCTGCTGTTTTGACTGCTTTGCCCTGTTTCCTTGATGCGTCGGTGTAGAATGGGATAAAATTCGTATTACGTTCCCCACTGCTTTCGTTCGTCCCTGTAAACCATTGAATAGACTAGTTTAAACAGTATTTGAAATCTTAATATACTTTAATTTAGTATTCAATAAAATAGAAAATAAATAATTCGATAATTTCATAAAGTATAAATTTGGTCAGACTGTGAAAACATTTTATTTTGTTAATGTCAATTGTTTTTGTCTCTCATAGACCCCTTGTCATGTTTTTAATTTTAGAAAAACCCCGCTTTTCACTTTGAAAGATTAAAATTTCTAAAAGTAGTGACACATTTATAAATAAATAAAAATATAGTAACTGTTACATAAAAAAAAAATTAAGCAAAATATTTATCCATTTGGAGGGGTGATTGATGGTTTATTATTGATTAATTATCAACATTTGTCATTAATTTAGTTAGGTTTAATATTAAATCTCCTCGGTTAATGATGTCAAGTTTGTTACTTTTTTTGTTATGGGATCTATAACTGCGTTGAAACCGCTGAGGACAGTTGCACTAATTGATATTTTGATATTGATATTTCGATTTTTTGATATTTTGAATATTGATTTTGAATTGATATTTTTTTTAATTATGGAAATTTTATAAATAGTATTTTAATGTATCTTGTGCCTTGTTTGTACTATACCACGTTGTGTTTTATAAATGTAAACTCATTTAAAAAACAACAACTTTCTCTCTCTCTATTCCTCTCTCTCTACTAGGTATGAAGAAGAAAAACCAATTAAAAACTTTCTGGTGGTAATCCATAATCAGGAATAAGTAACAGGCATGTCTTTTTGAAGCCAGAGTTGTTGATATGTTTCTAAACTGTACCTTCCAAGTTCTTCGTTAGTGCGTATTACAATCAATTTTTCTTGTAATGTAAAATCCGTTTCTTTAATGCCACTAAATAAATTGAGAATCAGTGCGGACATAGATTGAAACATCGCCTTACTGGTAGATTACCTTGAACAAATTGAAGAACTGGGAAAATTCATACCGTCCAATGTTTTGCTTCATCAGTTTAATTCTGGCAAGAATCGTTGAAATGATCAACAATGTCTGTTTTTTTTAATAAATTTTCTTTCAAATTTTTATCTTTACTATTGAGAAACTCTAAAACAGTTTCAAAAATCTTGTCAGGCATAAGCTTTTCGATAGCCAGCGTACATTAGTGTAAAGAAGTAATTGGAAGAACTTATTACCATTTTCTTCACACAACTGCGCAAATAACCACGTATTCAACGCATTGTTTCGGATTCGGTTTAATGCATCAATGACAAATTGTATGATTCTTGCAATCTTAAATTCGCATTTTTAGCAACTAAATGTTGTCTCTGTATGACGCAGTGTAGAAAACGATTATATACCATTAATAATGCTTCATTACCAGGTAAAATTGAATCGTCCCGTTGTATAGAGAAATGGGTCGTTTGAAAATAATTACACAAAATGTTCAACATCATAACTTAAAGAAATTGTTTTAATGATATCAGATGCAGGTTTGTGTAGAACAGTTTTTAAAACCACTTCAATTGCTGGCAAAATTAACTGTTCTTCGATAGTATGCTGTTTTCCGGATTTTGCTAAAACAACAAGATATTGTAAAGGTCGATTCAGACACATCAGTCCCGTCACAGTCTCGGCGCCGAACCGGTCCTGTTTGGTCACAGAACTATCAACTATCTGACAGCTGGGAAACTGTTCGTCGCCTGATGAATGTGAATGCCGGCGCCATATTTCTATTAAAGAATATTTTGTATGACGGATTGTTCGGTTCGGTGCCAGGACTGTGACGAGACGTGACTGATGTATCGGAATCGACCTTAAGACACACCATCACCGTTTCTTTGTGACGTCAAAGCGAAGATTTTGTTCAGCGTGGGTCTCTCCTGAAATTTTTCTTTATATTTCAAACCTTTTCCTGTTTTATCAGGGTGCCATATTCTCAAATGACCTTCCAGGTTAAATGGAAGACCACTTTGGGAATCACTGATTTAGATTAATTAAGCTTCGAGAAGGGATTCACATTTCACCATCGGATACGTTGAGTATTTGAATCATTCTGCTTGAATCTTTTCTCATTGGTTTTCACCTCTGGACACATCGAGTACTTCGGTTATCGTGGCCAACAGCCTACCCTGCTCCTAGCAACTATCTAAAAGTGTAACGAAACATTGAGATTGACTCGAAAAATTTCGTCCAAAAAAGCCATCGTCTAATCTTGACTCTAGTTATGGAAACCTCTAATATCATTCATGCCTTTATACTTTAACTTATGTTTTTGATACATATTATAACACCACCATTCTTCTATATTATTTTTTTAATAAAACTAATTATTCCGCTTTCACTTTTATTACAAATCACAAGTACTAATTTTACTTTAACGATTTATTATTAGCAACTTGCTACATAAGTCCGTTTAGATACCATGTCTCCGAACCAGCAACCCTGGTTGAGAGCTTATGTTGCCATGAAGTGAATCTACTTAAAATTTTAACATCCTACATAATTATCAGCAACAATGTAATCTAATGCCAATTAAAAAAAATTTAAAGGGTTTTCATCCATATATTTAGTAGCTTTAAAGATGTATACCTAGTAACAGCAACCAAGATGGACTATTTAGTCCGAAAACGTTCTGTGATTTAGACCATAAGGGTTCTTTTAAATAAATGCACTTTTATAAAGGATTTTTTAAATGAAAACCTTCTCCAACGTAATAAAAATTATACTGAAATGATGGCATTTACTGAGGTAAAAAGTTCGGAACGTCAAAAATTGCAGATAGAAAAATTAGAATAGGGTCTTGGAATTAGAATAAGTCTTACAAGAAACAGTATTGAGTTGATAAATGCGCTTAAAATACAGAGAAGTACATAGTGAAATGAAAGATAACGTAGTAAAAGTTGTAAGAACGGGTGATCAAATGATGTCAGTGTAATTTATACTTGATAAAGAAATATTGAATATTGTGTGTGTATTCTGCTCAAATTTGTCTGAGTGAGAATGAAAGAAAAACTTTCTATAATCAATATACTAATATATTCTATATATCTAATATATAATGTCATTATGTTTTCTATAATCAATTATGAGACATACTGAGTGATATTTTATCAGAGGAGAAAGTCATAATAGAACGTAATTTTAATGTACATGTGGACCAATCCAAGACAGGATATGAAACAATACATGTAGTACTAGGATTTGGAAGTAGAAATGAATCTGGAGATGATATGCCTGAATCAGCTACAGTATTAAATATAGCGATTAAATATTTCAAAAGAGGGAATATCAACTTATTACGTACAAAGTAGATAAAATCACTCCCAAATAGATTATTTCACGACAACAGAAGATATACGTGAATGTAAGAATTGCAAGATAATAGTGCAAATAAACGCTAATATTATGTTTATTAATTTTGAGAAAGTATATTGTAAGAGTTTCTAGAGAGATTAGCACTCAATAAGAAAGGAGTCCCGGTGAACATTTGAACATGATGAGAGACATATGTAAGAGAGTGACAACTAGTCATTGACAGGTGTGAAAGAAACTGATAAATTTCATGTGAAAGTAGGATTGCATCAGGGCTCAGTGATTAGTCCTTATTTATTCTCAGTATTGTAGGATCAGATAACAGCGAAACTACAGGGTAACATTCTCTGGTGCTTAATTTACGCTGATGATGCGGCGTTAGTAGGAAATACTGAAAGCAATTTAGAATAAAAACTGGAACAGTGGAGGCAAGCTCTTGAGAACAAAAACTCAGTAGGACAAAAACAGAGTATTTAAAATGTTCATTTAAAGATGGAGATAACTTTGGATGGTGACATGATTGTCAAATAATAGTTTTAAGTATCTACAATCGGTATAGCAGGGTAATGGGAAACTAGATGGCGATGCATGCAGTAGAATTAGGGTTGGATGGATAAGTGGAAGGAAGCGAGTGATTTGTTCTGTGACAGAAAGATTCCAATGAAGCTGAAAAGAAAATCTGTAAAACTGGCGTAAGACCAGCTACGGAATTGAATGTTGGACAGTTAAAAGAATGAGATAACATTATAATGCTTAGAAGGATTAGTGGAGTGACAAAAAAGGATAAAATTAAGATGGAGCATATTAGGGAAAGTCTAGGAGTGGCACCAAATGATTTTAAAATGAAAGACCATAGGTTAAGATGATTCGGACACTTTCAACATCGAGACGTTAATCAGCCAATACGAAGAATTACTGATTTGCTGGCCCCTGCAAATCAGCAACAAGTATGTTAATACATATAATAATGTTTTGAATATTCTAAAAAATTTTCGTATAGCTGCACACTTGCATTAAGTTGCGTTGTCTTACGAATGCCAATCGTGTGACATACTCTGCCGCGCTCGTATCTTTTTTACCAATATTTACGTGGTCCGATTATAAAATTGCCTCAAATACATGTTTTCAAGATTAAAAAAAATTGTATAAATTTTCAAAACTTTTAATATTTGCTACGTTGCAAAATGTATCTGATCTATATTTACTTCGTGGACTTAAATCTCTGTAAAGTATCAATAACACATAATTATAACTATTAAAAAGGAGAACAAAATTTCTCTATTGAGATTGGTTGTGAACCAATGCTGCGAAATTTGAAAAGGAAAACTGCAAAACCGAGCTCGCTCGGTATATACTTACCTCTCTGAATACCATCCGTTGTCCTGGTGTAACATATTCCGGATGTTTAATAAATCTGAAGTGAATTAATGCTTTGTCTCCCGTCCTAAGACAATCCTTGGACATGCTGATTATACTAGCAGTTTGTCTTATACTTCCGCAGTGGACTAAAAATAACAAAATACATAAAGTAAACATTTTAACAATTATAATTAGATTATAATAAGATCATTAAAAAGTTAAGTGTAAACTTTTTTTAAATGACTCTCTTATATGTGTTAATTTGATATACAAAGCGGGTGTTGTATGTTTTGCATATTGGGCATATTGGGAAATAACGCCAGTAATCAAATTTCACTACTAAAAAAGCAACCTTTATTTCGAGTGCTGTAGCTACAATCAATTAAAGTTGATAAACTAGTCAAAAAATTACAGTTAAAACAATTTAGCGCAATTTTTTATGACTTTTTAAAGACAATTATCTCAACAAGGATGGTCAAATTGAATTTAAATTATTGAAATTTTACAAAGATTTCTAAGATCAGTAGATACAACACCAGAAAGTTAAATATATGGGATTAAAATACAATTGATTGTAATAGGTCTTTTTTATTTATAAAATAAAAATGATCATTAATTTTAACCTGTAATTTTTTTTATTTGTTTTATTGATTACTACAGTAATACGTATTCAAATTTTACAGACTAATATAACTAGTCTACTACTTCTCATCCATTTTTTTTTAATTTATAATTTATAAATTTTACATACTAATCGAACTATTCTACTACTTCTCTTCCTTTCGTTGGAATCTGTTCGTATAGACATAGAAAAAGGAGGTACACAACAGATTATATGAGCGAGTTTCTTAAAAAGCACGTTGAAACAAAGCAAATGACAAAAGCACTTTATAACCAGCTGAGGGCATGAGAGCCTTATATGAGGGAAGGGTTTTGATCAAACAGATAAAATAAGGTACTATAGATAAAGAGATGTATTAAAATATGTGATGTCTCTTGTATGCAAATGATAGTACGCTTAGCTAGCCAAAGATTGAAAAGAATCTACACATTAAGTGGTCCGAGGCATTATTTTTTTACCCCAAATGATTCGTGTCAATTTTAGAGAGCAAATCGATTCCCAGCATCGCCGTACACGACTCGCTGGGAATTTAACGAACTCCCGTAGAGGAACGTGTAGAACAGGCAGTTCTGGAGAAGAATACCCAAATAATAGAAATGGGTATTTTTGTTTTCAATATAAGTACACAGACACGTAGTTAGAGCCATGTGCACCCTAAAAAGGTCATTCTTCCTTCCTGCTCCAAAACTGTCTACAGTGATCAAAATGATTGCCGAAGACTTGATGAATTTATAAACTAAGGTATTCAATGTGTTTAACTTTTGAAAGTGCCGAAGCTAACTAATAAAATACCGTCCAGACAAAACCTGATTTTATGCATCGACAAAGTCTACACAATATATACACTAGCTTTTTTGTACAATTATTTTAATTGTATGTATTAAGAGGTGTAGAAGATTATACCTTTCTTGATGTCTCATTACATGGCCGAAATATTGTAACTTTCGAATTTTGATTATTTTTGTTATTTCTGTGCTCCAATTTTTTTTTTGTTTGCAAATACAGCGAATTTTCGAAGAAAACGGTAACGCCTCTTATTGGTATGTATCTCCCAGCTACAGATGAGACATCAGGAAGAAATAATTCCACACCACAGCTTAAAACACCGACTGCCAAGATCTACACTTCTTGATAATAGTAAAATTGATTTTTTTTTCATAATTAATATCCCAATACTTTTTGCTTGAAAGCTTCATTTTGGCAAACTTTTCATAGCTGGTAAAACAAAAAACAAAATTTTATTTATGACATACCCATCGCTTGATATCTCGAACTTATAGTTGTTGGATGGTGTAAGACTAAAATTTCTCCTTCAAATTCCCAACAGGCTTGAGGATTTAACACTGGAGATACCATAACCATACCTTTCCTTATTTGTGATCTTTTAATCTAAAAAATCAAACAAAAATATTAACCTTTTTAAATACACCGAACAATGTGGAAATAATTGCTAAATTCATATTTCAGAATATCATATCATACCATAGTTACCATTATGATTGTAATAGTATATGTATACGTACGTATTATGTATTTCATATACAGATATATACGTAAATTAAAATTTAATATGAACACTCAAAAACCATATTAAATAATATAATAGTACAGCGTTATAACAGCTTTTCATTTAATTGAATTAACTTTTAAAATGAACTAAAATAGAAATTTTAGAAATAAATAAATATAAATTATCTCCATAATAAGCTTATTTCTCTTTCTCTCTCTCTCTCTGTCTCTCTCTCTCTCTCTCTCTCTCTCTCTCTCTCTCTCTCTCTCTCTCTCTCTCTTCAGTCCTGACGCCCCGGAGGGAGTTTAGCGGTCATCTTAATGTCGTATATGGTCTGTCTTCAAAGATCTCTGTCTCAGGTCATTTCTTTTAACTCGTCCATTGGTCTTTTGCATATTGCTGTAATTTGGCCATCGATCCACCTTACAGGAGACCTTCCTCGTGATCTCCGACATTCTACCTTTCCTTTAATAATGAGTCTCTCCATGTTTTCTGTGTCTGATCTCATACCATGTTCAAAGTATTTTAATTGTTGGAAATTGACTAAAAAGAATCCAAGAATTCGAACTCTGGTGTTACCGTAATGCTCAGAATATCCTACATGAGCCATACGACAAATGCGGAAGTCTTGCGGAGGATGAATAAGGAAAGAGAGCTTATGCTTATAATAAAAGAACGGAAAACACAATATTTTGGTCACATCATAAGAAATCAAAAGTATGAACTGCTCCAACTTATAATCGAAGGCAAAGTCAATAGCAAAAGGGGACCAGGAAGAAGACGCAACTCTTGGCTTAAAAACCTACGGCAATGGACGAACATGACCTCCATAGAACTATTCAGGGCTGCTACAAATAAGATTAAATGGGCAAATGTAATGGCCAACGTCCTTAAGGATAAGGCACCGTAAGAAGGAGATTGACTTTGCTCGAGAGTCGACTTCTCTTAAAATTGAATTATTATTTTTATGGTCGGTCATTTCTAGACCTCTCAACTTACTCCCTTACTTCACTCACTCACTCACTCACCTCAATCAGTCACTTCACTCATTCAACTCACTCCTAAATGCCTATAACTCAATCAATTTTGGTCCGATCACTCTGAAATGTTAACTGGATACTCTTGAAGAGTTATACTATCGAATAAAAAATTTTAAAAAACGCATAAGAATACCCTACCCCCCCTTAATATACTATATCTACTAATAATATAGGCATAACTAATATCACTTTCACCAATCACACTTTCAACGCGTACAACTAACTTCTGGAGCATAAAAAATCTAATTTTAAGATTAAATTATTATCAATTTTTGGAAATTAAGATATCAGATTCTACTTAAAAAGATACAAATAATACATATTTACCTTCTTAAGTGCGAAACTAGCAGTCTGTCCTGCTCGAACTTCTTTTACAGCCATCCTCTTCCTATGAATGCTTTTGACAGCAATTTGTTGAAAACGTCCTAACGGATCTGGACCTAGCATGAGGATATCATTTAATTTTATCACACCTTTTAAGGTAGTACCAGAAACCACAGTACCAACGCCCTAAGAACAAAATAAATAATATTATACTTGCATTTGATATCTATTGTATAAAAATAAATCCATATTTCCCTATGTAAAGCCATATCTTGAAAACGACTTTACCGATTTTAATTTATTTTTTTTTAGTTTTATAATACTGTGCAAAAATTAAAAAATGTTGTTAAAAAAGAAAATTATATAGAAAATTGAACTTTGCAGAACAATCAACGATGCGCCCACGTTTATGCGTCCCAACCTCATTCTGTACTGTATTTTTAATCTTCTAGTAAAACTACTCGTTAAACTTTACATATAACGTTTATAATTATGTTATGATTAATAATTGTTACATAAAGTATTCAAGATCAGAGATATTGTACTTACTGGAACAGAATATGTGTCATCGATTTGGAATTCGGCAGGTTCGTTTTCATGATACTCCATTCTGGTTGTAAGTAAATTAAGGAACGTTTTCAGTAACTCCAAATTTTCTCCGGTGACATTGGACACTTGGAAAATTGGACATAACCTACAAAATAAGAGATCAGTAGTACGATATTCGCCAGAAATATTTACTTGAGTCCCTGGAAACGTTAGACTACTAATCTTTCCAATATCGGGCTAAAGCAAATTTGCAATTACACAAAGCCACAACGATTTTCAACTAACACCGACAACAACAGCGAGCATAAACATCGAAAGTATCACTACAGCTAAAGAAGCTTGTCAGAATTCTGTAAAATCTAAACTAAGTCCTCAAATTTAAAATTATGCCAACAGACATGGGATTGATATAGAAATTATAAACATTGACATCTGAAAATGATATTATCTTGGTATATAAGTTTAAAGTGAGTCCTTTACATTCTCCCATACTTGTAACTTTCAATTACAATCAAACCAGCTTGTCTTGGATTAATGGGTTAATGGATTAAAGTGGTATATGGCTCCATATCAAAAACACACGATAGACTAATAATTGGTATAAGCAACTGTCCAGCATCTGATTTGCAGCCATGCTAGATTATGAGATACTTCTTACAAAAAGACTTGAAAATTACGAACAGTTTGTTGAATTATAAAGAATAATGCCCAGTGAATCCACAGAACTTATGGAAACGTACAACACTTTATACTGCGGGTACTTTTAGTGAAGAAACAATTGTCTATGGAACAGTCCTACTCCAATAGCTGAGTTAAGCAAGAAAGGAAAAAGGGATGAAACTTTGGAAAAAGTGAACTTACCCAATAGCAAAATAGCTAAGAAGCTCTGCAAGACCGTAGCAAACCAAGTCGCCATTCAAATGTTGTTTTACAAGTGAATTAAGAACCATCGAAATGGACAAAAAAGTAACAGAAATCTTAATCGTAAGATAGGCCACTTGGGAACATCTTTCACTATGAAAAAACTTCATAAAAAAAATAGAAAACTGCAAATATGGATAATATATACACTGAATATATCAAATTATGACAAAGGGCCAAAACTGGATTATGCAACTATAGAATAAGTGTTCTGTAAAACTTGCAAAATCTCAAAATATTAAAGAAAATCTAAAGAAATAGCCTTCCTTAACCAGGACCTAAAGAATCTTAGTAGTTACAGACCCATTTACCTGATCTGACACTTTTTTAAACAACACAAGTGCATGCACAAAATTGAAAGAGACGTTGACAAACACATTATACCACAACGAGTAAGATTTAGTGAAGTCTCGTGCCGTCCAAGTTACCACACTACAGAACACATTGAAGAGATCTGAAGGGAACTTAACCGTACAAATAGTTTATGACACTATTAAGTACAAAAAACTAATCCATAAATCATATTTAATAACAGGAATTATTGTATATCTAACATACATTCTTTGATCTGCCCGCCCTAGCTGAATATATGAACCTGAGTATTTAGAGAAAAAACTGAAATATCTAAAAACAAAAGTTGAAATAAAATAAAACAGATATGGCCCAAATGATATCAAATAATCTATAATGCCACAAAGCGTTCATCGTAATATCCGCAAACATCATGAAATAACAAAACTAAATGTAAATACTCGTTTGGCTTAACACAAGAGAAACTGTTGCCTTAGTTATTACAAAAGATCAGCATTTGTTGAACACATCGTCAAAAGAAAACAACCACCAAATTTTATTTGAAACAACACAGGCCCTTCGTAAAACATTAAACTGATACTCTAAATGTACCAAAAGGCTACAGAAATCCAAAAACACTTGATCAACTTTAATCGTAAAGGGGAGTGTCGTATCTACTGAAGCTGTGTAACTCAGCGCTACGAAATACGAAATCTTTCTCCAAACACACAGACAGTTTCAATACAGCTTCAAACCAACCGAAATAGCCGAAGAACACATGAAGGCTAGACATACTCGAATGATGCACATATTCGAAAAAAGCAGCCCCAATTAACGAAATACAGTTACAACGATTACCGTATCATCTTTTTATAATGTTTGTGACAGTCGCAGATATAACAGAAACGACAGTAACGTCAGTAACGATAAAGTTAGAACGAAAGAATTTCACATCACAACATATAAACCCGGAAAACATTATTATCATTACAGTAATTTTCATTGTTTAATTTGTAACACGAATTACTTACCTTTCAGATACAAAATTAGTGGCACTTAAAACCACATCATCGGAAGTTTTAACCATAACAGGTACCTTTCGACAACCAGGCGATTTCAATATCCTTACTAGCATCTTGAGATTATCCTGAAGGACGTTGGCAGGACACATGTCAATTTTGGTAACTACTACGAAGACAGGTACTGAGAGAGCTAGAGCAAGACCCAAATGTTCTTTTGTCATTCCGATTATACCAGCATTGGCACCTACCTACAAAATAAAATATTTGCTAATAAAATTTTTATTAGAATTACTTATGCAAGATTTAGTGTTGAAATTAGTCTACAAAGAAAAAACTTCCGACTCAGATGATATTCATGTTGAACTGTTGAAAACGCTTGCAAAAGATGAATCGCCCTATCCAGATTCATGATAAAATCTCTGTGAATGTGAATAATGGCTATCTTTTCGATTTCGTTATAAAAGCAGAGAGAAGCAACAATAGGGCGTCATAAACCAACTCCCAACAAGGGAATCACTAGTCAAAAACGCAACATCGAAATTCTCTAGGGATAACCATATCCCAATTAAGTACCCAACGCAGAAACCGACCCTGTAAACTTCTACCATTCCCCGCCACGGAAGTACACATGTATTTGCTTAAACTGAGAAAAGATATCATAATTCAGACAAATTAGACACATAGAAAAAATGAAAAATGACAACAATCTAAGCAAGAAAGCCCTCAAAAAATAGAAATATTACAAAGACAATAAAAGAAAACAGGGAACTCCGAAGAAGGAAAAACCAAACAAATAACAGAGGAAAATAAAGACATAAAGGTTTTAAGAAGAAAATATAAAACGGGGAAATTGAAATTAACAATCTAAAAAATATACCACGAGACTCAACTACGAATAAAGACAAACTACCAACGATAGTTGAAGAATTCTAAACAGACCTCTATAGATTCAGTCACCGAAAAACAAGCATTGTTATGGATGAAACAATTAAACTACTTTTACCCTGTCTCTTTTACTCTGTTAAACTTCTGTCTATACAATCCAATGTCCCAACGGAACGGAACAACGCCATAATGATAACTTATAAAAATGGACTGGCTAGATATATCAACCTAGAGTACAGGTAGGAATCTAAAAAGGTTACGGAACAAGTGGAACTGCGGAACACAACAAATTCTCTGTCTTAGTTGTAAGGTTTTTTTAGTCTAATCTCAAACACATAAGATAAGAAACATCAGAAGAGATGGTACATGTACTCATTGAGACAACTGAAAAGGTTGGTTTAACATAAACATATCTAAAATGACTAAAATGATGACAAATTTAATACCCAACCAGTACATTAACATCAAAGGAAAATAAATAGAACTGATGGGTACATACAAATATTCTAAGGATTAAATTGGGTTTTTAAGGAGATAAGCAACCTATTTTTTAATAGGCAACATATGGAAAACTACGAGAAACATCTGAGTAGTCTGAAAAGAAAAGTGTATGATCAGTGAGTTCTACCAATACTGACGTACGAAGTAGAAATACTCACTCCAACAAATTGAGAATGACCTAGAGAAAAATGGAATGATCCGCAAGGATAACTCGGGGAAAATAACGACCTAATGGAAAATCTAGCAAAAATTGGTACTAAATTCCCAACAAATACAATTTGTCTTCTAAACGATGATAGGGAAGAAGTGTCGAGTCTATATTAAAATTTATTTAAAATACAAACAATAAAAATTAACCAAAAAAAAATAACAAGATGACAAAGGATAACAGAAAAAATGATGATGAATATATAATACAAAATAATTCAACGATGCTATATTTACCTGTGTACCCTGACTGAGCTGTACAAAGACACTTCAAAAGATGCATCACTCTCAGAACACAAGAAATATGCAATCAGAGAGGCAGAACCAATAATCTTACGAGCAGAAGTAGAGAAGGCTCTCAAACAACTAAGAAACAAAAAATCCCAAGGAGGGGATCGAAAAATATATAGTCATCGGAAATAAAACCTAAAAGTGAGTTTGCCTTAGAATCGAGACCTATGCAATAATTATTAAAAACAATTCTAAACATACATATTAAATGCTTACCATTAACATGCCGAAATCTGGTGCATGTCCAGTCATCCCAAAAACTGTAGTTTTTAAATATCTCTCATGTCCCGCAAGATCGATAAATGTTATCACTTTCGAACTTCTCTCGCAAATTTTTACCCAATCAAGTGAGCCATGTTCTGGTTTATTCACAATATTTCCTGAAAAAATAATGCAACATATTTACATATAATTATCATTATTAAATTAACCACAATTTTTGCCACAATTGTGGCAAACTTTTGCAAATAGATGGATATATAACATGTTTAAGATCTTATTTATCATATATAATAAATATAACATGATGTAAATGTTTATGAAGGCTATTAAACTTCGAAATTACTCTCCCTAATAAATCAAACGATAAAAAATGTACTTATTATGGACTCATTAGTTTGATGAGCTATGTCGTTAAAATACTCGTACATATCGCTCTAAACAGAATTAACCATAAATGTGAAGAAATAATTGGCTAAAAGCAGTTTGGGTTCAGGAGATGCCTTGGAACTAGAGAAGCACTTTTTCTATGGAAACACTTCTTCAACGGTGTTGGGAAGTAAGAAAACTCGCAGGTATTCATGCGCTTAATTGGTTTTGAAAAGGCATTTGATCGCACACAGCATACCAAATTAATTACCGCCTTGCAGAGTATCAAACTAGGTCAAGAATAGGAACAAGCAAGTGAATTCAATAAAATGAAGAAAGTTCTCTGTAATACAGGCATCACAATGCCTTTAAAGAAAGACTATTAAGATGCTTTTTCTGTTTTACATTATTGTATGGAAGCGTGAACTCTAAAGTTTTAATTTACAATTCTAATTCCGACTGAAGATGAAGAAAAAGAGTATGAAGGAGAAAGAGATAGCGAAGGAGAAACATAAGTCTGAAAAATAGTAGGGAGAAAGAAAAATCTAAACTAAAAACCTTTTTTCAACGATTGTGTGTTGTTTAGAGAAAATATTATCAATCTCGTATATCACTTTGACCTTTCTACGTTGAAAAACTAACTTTACCTTCTTCGTCAAAACCCAAAATATCATTTCCTACAGAACTTGTCCTTCCGGATTCCATTTCATGTTTATGCCTAAATAGTCTCTGTCTAGCGTGTCCTCTTCCATTATCCAATTCTCCGTGTGTTAGAACTCCGAGTAAAGTTGATTTACCAGCATCTACGTTACCAACAACAGCAACTCGTATTTCCAAAAAATCTGAAAAAATAAATACGATCAGCTAATATTGGTATAGTGTATTTTTATGTATGAGAGAGTAATAAAACAATAAATTATGTATGCAAATCCCTAAACTGTTGATACGGGTGACTCAATGAAAAACAGATATTTGTCAACAAGTTTACAGAAGTATATAGGAAAACAATTTTAAATTGAGTATGACCACTAGGTATAAAGGTTGGAGCAGAATAGAATACAATAGTGAGGGTTACTAATCCCTAAATAAGGTTGCCAGTGTCGGAGTGATGGAGGTTAACAGATAGGAGGATAACTATAGTAACTAAAAGCACACGTATTTATTTAGCGTATGGCTCAATACATGGAGTAAATACAGTAATAATTGTAAAAAACGTAAGTACGTAATTCAAAAATACAAACATATTATTATAAACCAACATAGACAAAATACAGATAAAATATAAGATAATACCCGCAAAAATACTCTTACATATCGTTCTAAACAGAATTAACCATAAATGTGAAGAAATAATTGGCTAAGAGCAGTTTGGGTTCAGGAGATGTCTTGGAACTAGAGCACTTTTTCTATAGAAACACTTCTTCAACGGTGTTGAGAAGTAAGAAAATTCGCAGGTATTCATGCGCTTAATTGATTTTGAAAAGGCATTTGATCGCACACAGTAAACCAAATTAATTACCGCCTTGCAGAGCATCAAACTAGGTCAAGAATGGAACAAGCAAGTGAATTCAATAAAATGAAGAAAGTTCTCTGTAATACAGACATCACAATGCCTTTAAAGAAAGACTAATAAAATGCTAACATAGACAAAATACAGATAAAATATAAGATAATACCCTCAATGATAGTGCCCTCAATTCACATGTCTCCACTATGTGTTGGATGGTTTGATCTGGAGCTCCACAGTCGCAGCTGGAGGTAGGCTGTTTTCCCCATTTATGTAGGTTTTGTGCGCATACAGCATGTCCCGTTCTAATTCGGTTTAGGCTCTTCCATGTTTCGTGGCTGGTCAAAGCCATCAGGCTTTTGGACTGGGTCAATAGGGTTGGATAATTCAGGTGGGGCTCCCTCAGTCCACAGCGTGCGCCATCTGGAGGTAATATTGAAATCATCTGCTGTTAGCTGTTGGGCTGTTCTTATGGGTGGTTTTCCTGGATGGGAGTCGGTTTGCTGCTAAACTCGGGATGTCTTCATGGAATGGTAGTTGCAAGTTGCTATTTACTTTCGAATACTCCGTTATCAAGGTCTTTTGTCTTCGTAGAATAGGCGGAGGAATATGGCTAAGGATCGGAAGTCAATATAGTGGAGTAGTCTTGATGCAGCAGCTAATCATTCTCATTGCTATATTAAGCTGTGTATCAACTATTTTCACATGACGACTATTTAGCCAGACCGGTGCACAGTATTCTGCCACAGAATAAACCAAACTTAGCACAGATGTTTGTAGTGTGTCCGCAGATGCGCCCCAGTTGGTATCACAAAGATTCTGGATAAGGTTACTACTTATTTTTTGTGCAGTTATTTGTAGATGTTTTTTAAACGAGAGAGTCCTGTCCAAGGTAACCCCCAGATATTTTGGGTAGGGTTGGTAGGGTAGTGCTACATTTCTCATTTTGACCTCTAATTTTTGGTTTGCCTGTTTGTTATTGAGGTGAAAACAGCTTACACAAGTTTTATTTAAGTTGGGTATCAGGCGCCATTTTGTGAAATATTCATATAGTATGTTGAGGTCGTTAGTCAGCACGTTTTGAGTAATTTCAAACTGTTTGTGTTGTACTGCTATTGCTAGGTCGTCAGCGTAGCCAAACTTTTTTCCATCCGTGTCAGGTAGGTCCGATATATATATATATATATATATATATATATATATATATATATATATATATATATATATATAAGCTGAAAAGCATCGGAGCAAGGACTAATCCTTGGGGTAGTCCATTATTTAATTTCCTCTGTTTGCTTATGTCATTACCGTGGATTACCTGGAAGAATCGATCAGAGAGCATGTTGTTTATTAGTTGCAATATCATTTGGCATGAGATTAGTTTCGTTAGTTTATAGAGGAGTCCCTCCTTCCATACTCTGTCATAGGCAGCTGTCAAATTCAGAAAGACTACAGCCGTCTTTGGTTGCTTTTGGAAGCTTGCTTCTATATGCGTAGTTAGGCTTAGGACCTGATCTGCGCAGCTTCGATTAGATGTGAAACCTGCTTGTTCGAGTGGGATATTTTCAAGCATTTGTGGGTCTATTCGGTTTAGGATAAGTCGTTCCAGCAGTTTATAGCAGCAACTGAGAAGTGCTGTAGGAAGGTAGCTTTCAACTTTATCGTGAGGTTTATTGGGTTTTAATACAGCAATTATTTTGCCCTTTTTAAAAGCTTTTGGTATGTTTCCAGTTCTATTTTGGTATGTTATTTCTTCGTTGGTGAATTCGTGGGAAAACCTTGGTTTATATCCAGCTGTTTGGCGTAAGTTGTTGAGTTCCTTTTTTATATATTTTGTATGTTCTTTGTCACGTGGAGCCCTAGATAGGGTCACTATTCTGCTAGCTATTTGGTCGGGGGACAAAAAGTGGGGTTTTCTAACGGGCGGGGCACTTCCCCCTAGCTTTCTAAGTAGTTTCCAAGATTGTCTGCTCGATCTTTTAAAGTCCATTTTCTCCGTTGTTTTTATCCATTTATCTCTCCGGACTTCACTTAATGTTTGCAATAGGCCATTAGCTACATCTGGGTCACCATTCTCTATATAGTCTTTGTAGAGTTCTTCACATTCATTATTCCAGCCTGGGATGTACTCTTTGCGGTAACCTCTTGGTATACACTTTTTTGCAGTTGATATCATTGAACCTACAAATATATCGTAGCTTTATTCTCTTAATCTTCGTCGAACAGTAGAAGATCTGATTGCTGGTCAGCAAGAATGACGATGCGATCTTCCCTAGTAATTTTCCTTTTTGGATCAGTACCATGTCCTCGTTGGTGAAACCCTGTCACAATAAATCGTTGCTGGGTGCTTTGTATAGTCGAAAGACTAATATTCAGTTGTCTTGCAACTTGTCTTTGACTTAATCCACTTCACAATAACATTTGTTTTTGAAAATCTACAGAAGTTATGTCATACCTCACCTAGAATTTACAGTGTCAGTTTGGGTCACCCCATTTGCAAAGGGGAAATAATTTATTAGAAGAAGTACAACGAAGAGCTACTAAGCCACCTTTTAATTATGGAAGATTAAACTATGAAATCCGAATTTTTAATTTTGGGTTTTTAATAAATGGAACAGTTTAAGCGATGACATAGTAGAAGGTACTAGTTTAAATAGTTTAAAAAACAAGTTTGATGAAAAAGAACTGGATATTGTACCTAGTATTATGTTAACGTTCTAAAATGTTTGTAATTTTTTTTTTCAAAACTTAAAAATTTAAAAATGTAAGGATATATTTTATATGCTTTCTTTTTGTTACAATAAATGTTGTAAACTTATGTTTAGTTTGTAATATATTAATTTTTTTAATATGCTATTATTTCCAAGACCTAATTCTGTTGGATATTATTTTTATTTTTACTTTATTAGAAAATTTGATGTATATTATATTATTTCGTTTAATACATACAAATATTTTGTACTTTAGGCCACATAAGCTCTGCTTTGGCTTGATATCATTGTATAAAAATAATAATAATAAAACCTTTTCCCAAAATTGTTTTGTTTTATAGGTTCTACAAATATCTTCAATCCAGTTATAGGGTCGGTTTGCCTTTACAACAACACACTTAACAATGCTTTAATTTTGTAGCGATAAATAATAATTTCTAAAATATTTTAAATATTTGGGGTGGTCCGTTTACTATGACACATAGTGTATATACAATGCATAAGACTGATAACAGCATAATATATACCTAATATATATATATATATATATATATATATATATATATATATATATATATATATATATATATAGCATACGTAATATATAAAAAATAATACTTAAAACGTCAGTAATGAGAACCTTAAGATCAATTTTTGGGAAAACATTACTATACAAAATACCAAGCAAGAGATCTCTATAAAATGCAGGATATTGGGAGATGGGTAGACAGGGAAGATGAGTAGGAGACACAAATGAAGCCAGCATATTACACTAATAGATAGTGAGAGACTAGCCCGAACAGGAAGAATTTAAGACCAACAGAGACTAGATGACCATGAAGACAATTTAAAACATGACGAGATAGTTCAACATAAAACCATGAAATAAATCTGTTTGTCCATCCACAATAGAATACATTAAACAAATACATCATTAAGGTGACGGATGAATATTATTATTTAATGACGATTACAAATTATAATTTCTTTCAAAAAGACTAACCAATACCTTAGTGTTCGATAACTATAGGTTTATAAGCCCATAAGAAAACAATATTCTCAGATCTAATTAAGAGCCTAGTCTCTAATTAATTTGTTATAGCCTAATTCTCACATCGATGGCATGTGTTTCATTTAAACGTTTTGATTTATTTAAATTATGTCAAACAAAATATGTACCTGACTGATCAAGAACTCTCCTAATGAGGTATTGAACCACAATTCCCCTAGTTTCTTTACGTTCTCGGAGTCTTACACAACTGCACTCTAAAGTATTTGCCAATGATTGTAGTGTTGCTACTGCAGCTTCTAATTCATCATCTAGTAGTCCATTTTCAGATCCATCATCTGATCCACCAATCTGTAAAACCAAGCATTTATATAAAAAAGAATACTGCATAACTATTATACATAAAAGAAGTAATTTACTATTTTTATTGGGAATAACCTACAAATTTACTTTAAAATGAGTTTATTTTGACGTTTCGATTTCCTTATTTTAAACGTAGATTGTGGTTTATCGCCAATAAGAATAGTAAATTGTATTAAGATGCTACAAAGAAATAGCTTCAAATAATATTAAAAAAAAACGTACATATGTGCTGGAGTAAAAAAACTGGGAAAACGGAACTAGAAACAATATTAAAAAAAAATGTTGAACCATAAATTTGAGAGGAAGCCAGTAGCACAAGAAAAAACGGTATTTAAATATAGAGGTAAAGAATAGTAAAGCACTAGTATCAGAATTATAGAGCAGTACATCTAGAGCAGTATTTTCAAAGCACAAATACAAAGTTAAATTAATTGGTGTCTTTAATTTTATTTTAAATAGTGACGATTTTAAAAACGAAGATCAAAGTATCATGTAGTTAAGGTTTCAAATGTCTTTTAAAAGATCATAAATTTTGCTTTTAGCTGGAAACATTTAAATTAATGTTTGAACAAACAGATGTGGTTTTCCAATTCTTCAAAATAAATCAACAGACATTAATTACTCAAAACAACGATTAAATAACTTAACTGAAATTTTAATGAATTTCAGAAAGCATGATCAATTTTTGATAACATTTTTGGGTTAATTAACATAAATGTTGAATTTCCTTTGAAAAAAGAAAAACTATTTTAGAAGTTTTAGCCGATTTGAAACAATGTTACAGATTTATATAGAAATATTAGACAACATCAATACGCAAATTAAAGTTAGACTTGGCAATTTACAAAATCTAAATTATTTTGATTTATTATTTGAAAAATTCCCATTATACTCAAAAGATTTCCCAGAGAAAATATATAATGATTTATTAACTCAATATCCATTTTTTGATACTATTCAATTAAAAAATGTGTTAATTGTATTGTACTGTGACCCTCAAACGTTTGAAAATTGTAGGTCTCCTTCTGATTTATTAAATTTTATGTTTAAAAATTATTTATATGAATGCATGCCAAAGTTGTACAAGTTGATATCTATTGTTGTGATCATTACTATAACATCGGCTTTAGTAGAAATTTTTGAGCGCTAAAAAGAATTAAAATCTATAGTCGCAATTAGATGAGCCAAAGTAGATTGAATAATGTATCTCTTCTTCCAATCGAAAAAGAGTCCATCAAAGAAATAAAATATACACTTCCAAATCAACATTTTATCACGATGTGGTAGACTATAAAGAAAGAATAACAGGATGTATTAATAAACATCTTCAAACTGATATTACACCTACAACAGTTCAGAAAATAGGCGAGAATACATGAGTAATAGAACTAAGAAATGAAGAGGAAAAACACGAGATCATGGCAAAAAAATATAAACTAAAAAAATTCGTAGGAGAAAGTCGAAGTATTCATCAATGATGACTTGACTAGAGAAGAGAAAGAAAAGCATAAAAACCTAAGAAATTTTGCAAAAAACGAAAAAGAGAAACGCAAAGACGTCAAAATTGGTTACAACAAGGTGTTAGTAAACCAAGAAGAATGGAGATGGAACAAAATAAAAAAGGAATGGGTAAAACATCTAAAAAACTAGAAAACTACATCCACAAGAGGAATATTGATAACGACCAAAGCAACGAAAAGGATCTGACAATGACGACCAGGGCGACGAATAGGAACAACGATAGGAAAAGCACGATGCAAAGGTAAACAATGATGAAAATAGGAAGAAGATGAAAGATATGCCGCAAAAAAAGGAGAGATAAAAATGGGAACATGGAACGTAAGAAGCATCAATGGAAAAGAAGTAGAACTTGTAGAAGAAATGATCAGACAAAAAATAGAAATATTAGGAATAAAGGAAACGAAAATGAAAGGAAAAAGTTTTAAGAAGATACACGAAGGATATTGGTTATTTTGGGTAGGAGCTGATGCAAAGGAGAGAGCAAAAGAAGGCGTAGGGATAATAATTGCACCGAATAGACTACAATACGTTATAGAAGAAACGTTAACCAGAGAATACCATAATAACAGCCTACGGAGTAAATGAAGATGCAAAAAAGGAAGAGAAGGATACATTTTTCGAGAAGCTCCAAATGCAAATTGACAATGGGGAAGAAAATATAATTGTAATGGTAGATTTAAACGATAGAGTCGGAAATAATAACAATGGAATTAAGGAATGTATGGGAAAAGAAGGAGAAGAAATACTAAACAAAAATGGTGAAAGAATAATAGAAATATGTATGGAGAATAAACTTGTTATAAAAAATACAAAATTTAAACATAAAAAAGTACACAAATACACGAGAGTACAAGAAAGCAAAAATAAAAAATCAATCATAGATTACATTTTGGTAAGTAGCAACAAATGGAAAAGAGTACAAGACACGAAAGTGAAAAGAGACACGAAAGTGAAAAAAAAAAGTAAAAAGCTACAAATTAAAAGAAGAAAGATATAAGAAGATATTCCAAGAAAAATTAGACAATATTATGAAAGGTAGGGCAAAAACTGCAAGTATGGAAGAAAAGTGGGAAAATCTCAAGACCAACTTAATCATAGCTGCTGAGGAAACTTGCGGGAAGACAAATATAGCAAATACTAGCATGAGGAGAACAGAATGGTGGACGGATGAAATACAAAGGAAAATAAAGAACAAAAAAAATGGAAGAGATATCTAAGTACAAAGCGCCCTGAAGACTATGAGACATATAAAGAAAAAAGAAAAGAGGTTAAAATAGCTGTGAAAGAAGAAAAAGAAAGGTCATGAGAAAAGTTTGGACTAAAAATGACAAAAATGAAAGACAGATGGCTGATAAAATATGCTGCACAAAGAAAAGAAAATATGAAAACAGTATATACAGAAAATGTAAGAAAATCTTCAAAGCAACAATAAAAGAGAAGCATTTAGATATCTACACAATTTAAGGGAAGGATGAAACCCTGAACAAATATATGCAGAAATAAAAAAATGCAAACAGGATCCAAACAAAAATAAAATCAGTCTCAAAAACCTATTTCCAAACTCTCCTAGGGACGCAAGAAAATGAAGAGCATATGGAAAATATAAGACACAGAATCTGAGGATAGAAAAGGTAAAACAAGCAATATTGTCACAAAAGAATAACAAGGCTCCAGATATTGACAATGTCCCCTCTGAGCTATATAAATGAGGTGGTGAACACCTACTAGGGTAAAAAATCCCTAGCAAATGGAAAATCAAGATTATATGCCCAATCTATAAAAAAGGAGATAAACTGAAATGTTATAGCACAAAATCTGAAAATTATTGCAGCATAACCTTCTTGTGCTCAGCATACGAAGTTTTTACTTACATACTTAACAAATGACCGAAACAACTAACCGAAAATATTGTCAGGGAATATCAAACCAGTTTCTACCAAGAAAGATCTACAACTGATCAGTTATTCACAGTGAAACAAATTCTAAACAAATCGTGGGAATATGACATCGTCATCCATAACATATTCATAGATTTCAACTAGGCCTATGACTCAATAATAGACAAAAGTTATATCAAATATTACATAGCTTTAACATCCCCCAAAAATACATCCACCCAAATAGTAAAAGCAAACAGCAACTGTAAGAGTACAAAATGAGCTCACTGAGAACTTTTCAATAGTCAATGGGTTAGAGCAAGAAGATGGGCTGGCACCAACACTATTCAACCTGACTCTTAAATATGAGATAAGACACCTGAATATAGGAAGAGGTAATCTCCTAACTCTCATAATTATTATGTCTTCCAGAACAGAAGGGAAAACAGGGGTAACACACACCAGACTAGAAATAAATATTCAAAAGAAGAAACAGATACACAGCTGAATTAGAGGACAATATTGAAACTGTAGACAGTTTCACTTATCTGAGAGTTGCATTGAACAAGGATGGAACAGAAGAACCAGAAATTCAAAGAAGAATAGTAAAGGGAAACAAAGCATACTCTTCACTCTCGCATGTGTTCAGCTTTATAAACACACACTGGTTATCAAAAACCAGTGTCTACAAAACTATTATCAGACCAATAGTATGTTATAAATGTGAGATATGGGTGATAAAAGTAGACACAAAACGAAAGCTGAAAGTCTTCAAAAGAAAAGTCCTACGGAAGATATTTGAACTATGAAATCTACCAACTGTTTAAAGAGGCACCAATCTCAGAATTTGTTAAAATTCAAAGACTTTGATGGTCTGGTCATGTAGTTGGATTAAAGACTGAAAGATTACTAAAAAGAACTGTAAATAGTAAAATGCTGGTCTCAAGACCAAAAGGAAGGCCAAGGAAAAGGTGGGAGGATGAAGTGGCAGTGGATGTGCAAAACTTGCTAGATACCAGAACCTGGAAAGGATCAGCACCAGACCTGCAAGATTGGAGGCATAGTTTGGGGTAGTCATGGGTATCAACGTAAATTTTTGAGTGTTGATACAATGACACTGACACAGCTGCCTGACTCAGTACAATGTATCAGCACAATAAAGTGTCATGACACACAGTGTTTCAGTATTTTCTGTTGCAGAGTACAGAAACACTGTGCCAGTGTTACATAATGCGAGAAATGATACTGTTGATACAAATTCTAAATATAACTACACACATAGTTGCCAAATGATGGAATTTCTTTAAAACATATGCTATCAAAAGAACATTGGTATACTTAAGTCACTTTTTTTTATTGCATGAAGTAATCTCAATATTAAAAAAAATATATGGGTTAAATTAAAAGAAAAACTTTTTTCTCTTTAGGTAAATCAGTACATTTTAAGCGAAATTACCCTAAATTTGATACTTTAAGACTGAGTATTTCTAGATTCGAATTTAGTAAAAGAAATAAAAAATGGATGATCCATAATACTTCCTTCAAAATCTTTTAATTGGTGTAGGAACTCAAACTAAAAATTATAAATTTTGTTTAATTGTTGATATTTATTATAATTGGTTCATAGATTTATAGTAATAGTAAAACTATTCTGGGCATTTCATGGGAGTTTGAACTTTACTAAAAAATAAATTCCTTATTTGTTCATTCTTTTAATTGCGACTATTACCTTTCTTTAATTTTTTGGAGTAGGTAATTTTACAAATATACTTGTGGCAACAACGCATACTACATGATTAAATTTGTGAGTTTGTCTTGTGGGTATGCTGTAATTTATTGTATGTTGTATGTGTGTCAAAGATCAACACTGTGTTGACACTGCGTGCGACACTGTATCACAGAGTATGTGCTTTAATATGCTGTGTTGGTGTGTTGAACTGTATCATAGGTGTCACTGTGTCATTTCAACTGTATCAATACAATTGATACACTCTAAAGTGTCAATACAAGAGTGCCATTCAACACAGTATTACACATCTCTAGTTTGGAGGAGATCAATGCTCGATTTGGGCTGTAGCTGTAGCACCATTGGAAAGAGATAATGTGTAAATTAATCTGTCAAATGAGTTTGAGAAGTCTGTGTAAATGCAATTCCATTTGAGAACCAGTTACAAAGGCATTCAAAATTCATTCTGCTAGATCCACAAATTAGACATAGTACTTCTACCTGGGTAAAAACCATGTAGCTGAGTAATTTTTTAATTCTTAGAAAAATTCAATTATTATGATGTTACTAATAGTTTTTTCTTATTTTAGATATATTGACTGATTGGCAATGCTTCTGTAATTACATATATTTGCTCTTTTTCTTGATTTGAACATACACATAATTTAATAACAGTAAGTAAATTGATACAAAAGACAAATGATACAAGGTGTTTTTTAAGTCCACATAGAATCTACTGGAAAATTAAATAATTCTACATTTTTTAACTCTTCATATACTTAATAAATCCAGAGTAGTAAATCCATAAATATTTATCACATATTACTTCAATTTTATTGAATTCAATAATTGTGAAATATGTGATAAATAAATTTATTTCAGGTACAAGACACAGGTATAACATATAATATTAAGAATTATTAGGAGGATACACAAAATGATGCAAATCTTATTAAACAAATGCAACACATGCAGTACTCCACTCTAGTATATCTTACCTCCAAAATAACTTCTCCTCTCCCTTCTCCTAGCTGCTGTTTAAGTCTCTTCAGTAAAAGATCATACTGTTCTTCTGAAGGAGCTACCAATACCTTTCTTCCTAAGATTTTGTCGTATTCTGGAGGACGTTCTTGTTTCTCCACAAATGAACTCAATGATTCCCTGTTTTCACTCATTATATTTTGTTTTTCTATATTCTTTCTATCAGATTTACGTTACAAAAATCTCTATAACACTGTATCCTGTAGGATGTATTAATACCATACTATATTTTTAGAAATATCTTTCTAGAGCACTGAGGACCCTGGAATTAAAAACAAAATATTGATACAAAGAATATTTATAGCTGATCAAGAAATAGAGTGGGGATGGATACTGTATATGTATTATTATACTGAACTCAAAAATGGTGAAATATGTGGTAAACACCAAAAGAGAATAATATATTATGATACCAGTTTAATTATTGTGAAATGTTTAATGTAATTTCCAATTTGTTTAAGAGATATTTTGTAGTTCATATTTAATAGTGCAAAAATAAGCAAATGTGAAAAAGTCCTTATGGCTTAAAGAAAATTTAAATAATTGAAATTTACATATTATGTAAATGTCAACATTTTCAGTAATTGCATCATTGAGTAAGACTGGAAAGTCAGAGAATAAGGGCAACAACCTTAATCATTTTTTCAAATAATATAAATAGATATGTATTTATTTTGTAAACATTTTAAATATTTTTATCAAATAATATAAATATGTTCAGAAAAGGTCACAAGATTTCTTAATATTACAGTGAGTATAATTTTTTTTACACCAGAATGTGATTTAAAGTATGCTATACAGAAAATCTTTCCAAAAATAAAAAAAAACAAAACAAAAAATAAGAGGTTTAAAGAACCTTACCTAATAATTATGCTCAAAAATATGTAAGTATAAGTATTCATAATATAAATTAACCTGTAAGATTGGAATGCAAGTAAAGATTTCACTTCACTTTTCTGATGATACATGCAATTTGCAATTTTAGTTATAATAAATACCTGTGTTATTGGATTTAGATAAAATTATTGTATAAATATGCCCATATCTTGCTAATGGAAAAAATGTATTAGCCAATCATATTTTTCTAAATTTTAAACAATCACAAATCTGATAAGATATAAAACATTGCATTGTTTAAAATCCTAATCAAAATTATTTCATACTAAATAGATTCTGCGGATTTTACAAAAATTATTAGTTACATATGGTAACATCTTTACAACTCAGCTCATAAGATCATGTGGAATCAAATATACCAGTAATGTATCTGTATTGTTCACTTTATCACTTGACAATTAATATATTTACAGAAATGGTTAGAATCACTAATTTTGAGAGAAATTAATGTAAATATTTACCAAAAATAAAAATTATCATTGCAAATCTGCATTGACAACTATTGACAATTGATGAGTTAAATATATGACAACTAAAAATAAGTGAAAGGTTGACAACTCCAATTATTTTTACAGGACTTACATAATGTTAAAAAATTGTTAGATACAATGGATATGTTTCGAAAATTAAATAAATTCAACGTTTACCTAAACACTACTACTGAATATAAAAATAAATAAACCGTCAAAAAGGCATTGTTACAAAAATGGTGATATTCTTTTATTCTTGCATATACAGTTGCATACATCAGAGACCGCACACATTAAAACAGAAGATAGTTTAAGTTTGACAAGATCGTCGTCACTGTCAAAATTCAAAATATAACCTAAGATATTTGTTACCATCTCGGCATCTCAGGAAAATCGTATTTGATCGTATATTTAACGTTTACCTAAAATCGTTGATATATTCACAAAAAATGTCTCTAGCAGATGAATTGCTTGCTGATCTTGAAGACAATGATCAAGATGACTCCGAGGAACTGATGGAAGAAGTTCCCGAGGAGGAAATTAAAGAAGAAAAACCAGATTTAAAAGACTTGTTAATGGAACAAGAAACTGTACAAATAAATTCAGTCAGAGAAATTTGCAAACTTAGGGATTCTGAAAAATTACAACACATAATGGAGCAGATAGAAGGTTTTGGCACAAAGATTCGGAAATCTGTAGATATAATAGGCCCTGTTGAAACAGATCCGGAATATCAGTTAATAGTTGAAGCTAATAATGTAGCCCAAGATATTGATAACGAAATAGTAGCTGTACATAAATTTGTTAGAGATAAATACCAGAAAAGGTTTCCAGAATTAGAATCCCTTGTTGTCAGTCCTTTAGAATATTTAAGAACTGTAAAAGAACTAGGAAATGATTTGGATCAGGCAAAAAATAATGAAATATTGCAACAATTTTTAACACAGGCTACTATTATGGTTGTTTCAGTAACTGCATCAACAACACAAGGAACATTGTTAACTAAATTTGAAAAAGAACAAATTGATGAAGCTTGTGATATGGCAATGGAACTAAATAATTTTAAGTTAAGAATTTATGAATATGTAGAGAGTAGAATGGCTTTTATTGCTCCTAATATATCAGTAATTTTGGGAGCTTCTGTTGCTGCTAAAATAATGGGTGTTGCTGGAGGTCTTACTAGACTTTCAAAAATACCAGCTTGTAACATGCTACTTTTAGGGCAACAGAAAAAATCCCTCTCTGGATTTTCACAGTCCACAATGTTACCTCATACAGGATTTGTTTATTATTCAGACATAGTGCAAAATACACCTCCAGATTTAAGAAGAAAAGCTGCAAGATTGGTGTCTACAAAATGTACTTTGGCAGCTAGAGTTGATGCATGCCATGAAAGTACTGATGGTCATATAGGTAGACAATTAAGAGATGAAATTGAGAGAAAATTGGATAAATTACAAGAACCTCCTCCTGTTAAATTTATTAAACCTTTGCCAAAGCCAATTGACCAATCAAAAAAGAAGAGGGGAGGTAAAAGGGTTCGGAAAATGAAAGAAAGATATGCACTAACAGAATTTAGGAAACATGCTAATAGAATGAATTTTGCTGATATAGAAGATGATGCTTACCAAGAAGATTTGGGTTATACTAGAGGAACAATAGGAAAATCAGGAACTGGAAGGATAAGATTGCCTCAAGTAGATGAAAAAACAAAAGTGAGGATATCAAAGACTTTACAAAAGAATCTACAAAAGCAACAAATTTGGGGTGGTAGTACAACAGTCAAAAAACAAATTTCTGGTACAGCTTCCAGTGTAGCTTTCACACCTTTGCAAGGGTTGGAAATAGTAAATCCTCAAGCTGCAGAAGTTAAAGTGAATGAAGCAAATGCTAAATACTTTTCTAATACTTCCGGTTTTGTTAAATTAGACAAAAAGTAGAAAATATTGTATTTCTACTTCATTTTATTTATTTATATGGAATTAAATTCTTCAAAATAAAATTAATTACAAAACAGATTCTTATTTTATACCTTCATTAAAAACATTTATAAGTTGCTTAAAACAATTGTAATATTGCTTAAAACATGTACCTTCAACTTTACACCCCCATACTGAAAAGTATATCAACAGTTGAAAGGTAAGACATTGTAACCCACAAAACAACCATTTTCAGGAAGTAGAAAAATGTTATATTTAAGTAATTAATCTATTAATTTTTTACATTAATCTAGAGATAAATTATCATTTAGGGTTTCCATAATGTTGCTAACCCTTTTCTTTTGCACCTCTTACAGGAGTTTTAGTGTTGTCAACTATTGTGCAGTAAAATTTGAAAGTTGTTTTTCTTTATAATCACCATTCATACACTACAAATCTGACAGGCTTTCTTAATACTTTCTCCTTGCACTGATTTCCAAGTTTGAAAATCTTTGTAAGTATGAGTAGTCACTACATGGGGTCTTGGATTTGTTCTACTGTTCATAATAATTGTTGTATTATTATGAACAGTAATTTAATGTATTATAACTGGAATTTAAATTCTGTTGATATTAACTCAATTTTTAGTGAGCTATTTTTAGATTGTGAGATTAAAATCAATAAAACTGCACCTATTCAGATATGCTAGTTTAACTTAGAGCTACCATGGTTTGATAATGTAGTATTAACTTTTAAAATATCACTTAAACCATTTAAACAGGAGTTGTGGGGAGTAGTTTTAAAAGGTATCATAATTAAGTAGTTAGTACGGTAAAAGCTAAAAAAAAATGTTATTATTTTAATAAAATAGATAGATTTAGACACAATCCCAAAGAAATATGGATAATGTTAAACAATTTAGTGAACATTAAATCCAAAGTTTCACCTCAATTTGAAACAGGTATTTATTCAACATGTAAAAATAGCAAAGAAATCGCTAACCAGTGCAATAGTTACTTTGTTGTAAGTATTAACAATATTGTTCAAGATTTAGATTCAAGGGAAATCTGGTGTAATAAAAATATTAACTTATACCTACCGATAAATAAATTTAAATTAGTATATTTAACTGAATTACTTACGTAATTAATGTACGTAAATAAATAAGACAGTAAATACTCAGTTCATAATATGTTAAACGCTAAGATATTTTTGAAACAATTAGGCATATTATATTAAATTTAATCAACACTTCTCTGTCTACTCCTAAAATTCCGTATCAACCAACTACGTCATGGCGTTCTATGTTTTATCAGTTTTGATAAACTGCAAAAAATAGACTTTATTTGTGGAAAGTTTAATGAGTAGGTAATATTAGAATTACATACTTACACTTGGTTTAGCTTGTACCACCAAACCATATAGAAATAAAACTTTTTAAGCCACTTGTGTATTTTAGTACGAAAGTAATTTAAATTTATTTTCTATTATATTCGAACCAGGGATCTTTCGCAGTATGTAACTGATACTTTCCAAATGTAACACTGATTACGCCCATATCCCACAGACGCAGTTGGAACGTCTTAGCCCGAAAGTTATGAAAGAAGGTCGTCAGGTACTTTTGGTACAGACCTTATATTGATTTTACTTCTGTATCTTCTTTGTGATATTCAAGACTTCGTTCTGACAGATCTTATATAACATTCTGGTAGACAAGGAAACAGGGCGTTGTCAACCAAGGATCAGAACTAATACCGGAAATCACAAGAGATGAAATAAAACTAACCCTAAGAAAAGCTGAAAATAAATCTCCAGGCGAAGATTGTGTAGTTACTATTGCAATCAAAATCGGAGGCATGTGCCTTTTGGACAGGCACAATGCTGAGATAATTCTATTGTACAAAAAAGGAGATCCCCATGAATTAAAAAACTACAGACCTATAAGTCTTCTTAGTCACCTATACACACTCTTTACAAGAATAGTAACGAATCGGATCATATCACAATCGGCAGAGGAGTCCGACAGGGTGATACCTTATCGCATAAACTGTTTACCGCAGTACTAGAATATGCTTGTAAAAAACTTAACTGGGAAGAGAAATTCCTGAACTAGGTAAAGAAATAATAAATAAGACTTACTCACAATCAATTTATTGCGCAAGTCTATTGTATTGTATATGTATTGAGTAAGTCTTATTTATTATTTCTTTACCTATTTGAAATGGAATCACACAAGCAACATATTCAAAATTCCTGAACATTGACGTTAGAAGATTAACAAATTTGAAATTCACAGACGACATAGTTTTGTTCTCGGACAACCTCAAAGAGATATGTACAATGCTACATGAACTTCAGTTAGTGTAGGTCTTAAAATAAACATTTCCAAACAAAATTCATGACAAACCTAGTACCTAGCGGAAATATCAATACAGGAGACAACGGACTAGAGCTGGTGGAAAAATACATATACCTTGTACACGAAATAAAAATGGAAACGTCAAAGAGTATATCACTTCGTGATGTAGTTAGAAATGAAGACTTAAGACGAATAACGGGAGTTACCGACGTAATTTCCCGAATTGCCACACTAAAATGAAACTGGACCGGACACGTCGCCTGAAACAGTGATGAAAGGTGGATAAAGAGATTGCTTGAGTGGAGGCCGAATTTAGACAGAAGGAGAGATAAAGATAAGATCAACTTTTATGCATGATAATTACCTTTGTTCAACTTTTTCAGACAAAATAGAGTAGAAATAGGCTAGAGCGCTGGATAATCTTGGGCTCCGAGCCACCTGCCCATGGAGGCTTGAGACAACTGCTTCCACATGTCTGAGACCAAAGGGAAATCTATGAAGACTGAAGCAAGTCACATGGACAATAATCGGAACATCACGATAAAACATTAGTAGACTAAATTGTAGGGGATAGGAGTTAAGAATGGCTTCTTAATATTGGTCTGAATCCCAACTATGGCTATGCCAGATACTAAAATTGGAACCTGTAGGGTCTGTTTGGTCAGGGAAATCGTTAAAATGCTTCTTCTTCCATCTTGTATGTAGGCTTTAAAGCCTGTTTCTTCTTCAATATTAGCCTTCTAAATTATTTAAATTG